GGGGCATCACGTGGATTGAGAGGGGATTCATCCAGTGTCCAACTGACATCACACGCACACTCATTCGTGACCCCAAGGTCATGTCCACTCTCCCAGCATTCCAAGGCTGCCTGACCAGACATGTGGCCAACTTGAGCCCCCGACGAGGGAGGCCGCGTCCGTCCCCGCCGGGAGCCGGTCTTTCCTGCTGCACCATTGTTGCTGACACATGCCCACCATATGGAATTCCACTGGCATGTTCCTCCTCCCCTCCCCTCATCTCATCGCTTTGATTTTTTTTTTTAATTTTGGAAGCAGTTCTCTTAGCAACCAATAAAAAAAAAACAAAACACCCCACACTTAATTACATGCCGGGAAGCAGACGCCTCAGACGGCACAACCTTGCTCGGGCTGCGCCGTGTGGGGCTCCTTTCCGGAGCCCCTTTGGGTGGAGTGGGAGCGGGCTCTCCAACCGGCTGCCGGCGCACACATGTGCACACTGTTCTGTGTTGACTTCACAAATACAACTTTCTCCATGCAGTGCTGCCCAGCGGGCGCCCTCCAGTGTGTCCCCCAAACTTCTGCCGGGTGGGGATGTGCAGCAGCTGGAGGGGCAGGCGGCCGGAGCAGGGCACGCCTGGCTTCCCGTTGGATGGTTAGTTCTCTTTAAAAAGAGCGAGCGGGAGCCAGCCCTGTTCTCTCCGGCGTAATTGCCACGCTGGGAGCGAGCCAGCGGAGTAATTGCTACGTGTGCCCGAGCCTCTCCAGCGGAAATGTGGGTCATGCTCAGAGCCGCCGGCGCGCTGACGCGGTCTGTGCAGGGTGCGCGCCAGCTGAGGCTTCTCTGAAGCCTGGGTGCTGGGTCCCTCTCCGCTTCCTCTTGCTCCCCGCTGGCAGACAGGCAGCCTTCTGGATCAAGCGGCGGCTGCTGAAAATAAAAAGCGACTCTGCTGACAAAGGTGCGCCCTCTCGGGCCACGGCCACAGCTCGGCAGCGACGATGCCCCCTGCACCGTCCAAGTTTTGCTGGCTCCTTGGGGCCAGAGCGTGCAAATGACTTGGAGAGTTTGCTGGCCGCCCGCCCGCCCACCCTGGGGCTGCAGGACGCGCGCCCCATCCTGGCGAAGATGCTCAGATCCCAGAGGCTCACATGACAGGGAGGCGAGTGTGAGCAGGGCTTGCTCGCAGCTCCTGTGTGAGCATAGTTGGTTCCCAGCTGACAGACAGAATATGGGGTGGGCTCTGTCTCCAGCGCGCCGGGCCCGGCGTGCCCAGCCATCCCCGAGTCTGCACAGCGCCCCGACGCCCGCCGCAGCTGCCAGGCTCCACGCTGCCCCGGCGCCCGGGCACGGGGGCTCCCTCCTGGCTGTCCTGCTGTGCCCTCCTCCGAGAAGGTTATAGAATGAGCGCGCCACTGCCCAAGTCAGAGGCAAAATGAAGTCTTTGTTAAATGCCTTCACCAAGAAGGATGGTAAGGGGCGAGCCTGGGAGCGGCGCGGGTGCATGGGAACAAGCAGCTCCGTGCTGCCTCGGGGTGGAGGGTGGGGAGTCTGCTCCCCTCAGTTTGCCGGCTGTTCTCCCCCAGCATGTTGCAAAAATTGCTCTGCTGGTGCGTGGTTGACACTGGGTCTGGCCATCAAGGCAGTGGAGGGGCCGTGTGTCTCAGGGCTCCGGCCGCTGCACGCGGCTCCCTGGGAACTAAGTCGGAGGGCAGAGGAAGGAAGTTTCCTGTGTGTGGTGTGGGGTGGGTTACCTGGGGCTGCCGAGCGAGCGCCAGCTGAGCACAGCAGGGCTGCGTGGACCATGCCGGGTGGACTCGGCTGCCGGGTGGTTCCTCCCAGCTCGCTCCCTGAGTGAGCCTGCCTTTTGTGGGGTGGATGGAGGCGAGCCCTGGGGCGACCGGCTTGAAAAGCACATATGCTTTTTGTCTTACCTTGTGTGGATTTATTGTGGGAAAGATGTATAAATAACGCCTGGAAGACAGCTAAGAAAATACCCGCCCACTTGGTGCTTTGCAGGTTGCCTGTGAGAAGGAAATGGTTGGGTGGAATATTAATCCTTTTTAGACAGGAAAAAGAGTTATTTTTAACCCTTTCACAGCATCCACATTGTCAGGGAGGGTCCTGATTGGACCATTTGCCACACAGAACGCTCGGGTTCTGGGGAAGCAGAAGGTTGATGAAAATCTTACTTTGGAGGCATCTCGGCGGCATTGGCTTCCCAGCTCGTCATCAAGTGATCATCTAAGAAATTTCCAATTAAATTGCACAGGAAGCTAATTTAATCCGAATCTTAGTAATTAAGGGAGGCAATTTTCATTAAAATGCTCACCCTTAATGTCACCCCTGTGACTTCATTTGAAAGCCTTGGCTGGCCCTTGGGGAAAAGGTGTTTGAAAATGTCCCAACCCATTTCATCGCTTCCACCTTGTAGAGCCCCCCCCCCCGCCCTTTTCCTGGGGAGCTCTCACTCCAGAAATGTGCATTTTAAGACCTTCATCTGAGCCTGTTTGTGCATCTGCTGAAGTGCCCCAGCTGTGGCCTTGTCCTCATGTTCCTTGGGGACTAAGAGTTGGGGCATCTGAGAGTTGGGGTACTGACAAGTGTGGTTGCCTTTTATCAATTCTGTTCTTTCGGGCACTTGTTCCTCCAGTGACTGGGAGAAGTTCCCTGGGTTTCAGCTCTTTTATCAGGTGCTGCTCCCAGTAATTTCATTCTGGAAGATAGGATTTGCTGTATGTGTGGGGGCCAGGGAGGCTGGAGAGGGGTGTGGGCAGTAGGAATTCCAGCAGCCCCTGCTTATGCTGATGTGAGACCCATGTCCAAGGAGGAGATGCGGGGGAGCCCAAGTGTGCTGGGGCCACCCTGATCACAGGGGTGTGCTGGGGCCACCCTGACCACAGGGGTATGCTGGGGCCGCCCTCACCATAGGGGTGTGCTTCGGAGCTGTGGTGTGGTCTCCAGTCAGTGATCTTGTGAGGAGAAGCTAGTAACTCCAGGGATGGTAGCCTCGCCTGCCCTCCAAGGTCACCCTCCCCTCTGTCAGGCAGCTCCCAGCTCTTCCAAAAGCCATCACTGCCAGTCGCTGCTCTGAGACCTCAGTGAAGGGCCCTTTCTCCCTGATGCCCTGTGGCCAGACTCTCTGGAGAGACGAGTGGTTTTGGAGAGAGACATCTGTGGGGAACAGGCAGCCTGTCCTCTCCCAGCCAGGACGGTCCCTGTGGACCACTCTGTACTGCTCAAGTATGTCTCCCTCCGGTGGACGGCTTGCCCAGCCAGTGGCTTAAGGTGACCACAACCTGCCGCCCAGTTGGGGAGTCTCCCCCCTCCCCCAGCGTGTCTCCCCAGCTCAGAGCAGAGTCCTGGCTTACAGCTGACAGGACACCTGTGCTTCCTTAGGCACCTTGTGCCGAGTCTGGGGGCTGCCCTCTGGGGAGTCCTTCCTCTGGAGCCCCAAGTCCAGGGTTCCAGGCTGACCCTGTATGGGGTGTGGTAGGGGTATGGGAAGTGCACTGAATCAGAGGTCTCTCCATGATACCTTTGTCCCTGTCGAGCCTTACCAGGGCCACCTCTGTCCCCACGGAGCTAGAGAAGACTCGGCCCCCATGGAGCCCATGCAGAGCCATTCCTGTCCCTGTTGAAGTTGGTCAGGGCCACGTCTGTCCCTGTTGAAGTTGGTCAGGGCCACGTCTGTCCCTGTTGAAGCTGGTCAGGGCCACGTCTATCCCAGGAGCACCAGCATCCAGCTGTGGTGTGTGGGCTGACGTCTGGCCAGTGCTCTCAGGCTCGGTGAAGACACGGCTCCCCTTGGTCCTGGTGACAGGCTTTGCCAGGACCCTCTGGCCTTTGGCAGCCAGGGGCAGTGGAATGTCCCTGCTCTGTCACAGCCACTTTGCCGTGCTGCTGCTTGGAAACAGGGCACGTGGCTTTTGCATTTACAGTCTGGCCTTAGGTCAGGTGAAGTCTAGGGCCAATTGAGCTTCATCCCAAAGGAGGTGACACTGTTGACAAATGTCAGAGATGCCTGAGGGGGGATGATCTAGAAGACATCACAGCAGCTGTGCGAGAGATTGCTGGTGGCTGTTCTCTCTGTGGTCTGGGCCTCCTCCCTCGGTGCTCCTTCTGGGTATGGACACTGCCGTCCTGCCCACAGCCCTCAATTGGCCTGGCAGTGCCAGTGTCCGTGGTGGACAGGTGTCCTCACTCTGAGCCCAAGACACCTAGGCCCTTATCCCCTGGGAGGCAGACAGTTGGTCCATCGCCTGCTGTCCAGGTGACAGTTCAGCTTGATGGGCAGATCCAAAGGATATGTCTTGAGATGCAGCCAGCTGGTTAAGCAGAGGGTAGGTGTCACCAGCAGTGTGTGCTGCACTGTGAAACTCAAAGATTGATGGTTCAAAACCACACAGAGGCTCTCCTTTAGAGACTCCAGCTGAGAAAGCCTCACAGATGTTCTGTTCTGTAATGCCTGGGGTTACTGTGTGTTGGGACCTGCCCACTCTGTAAGGCCTGGGGTCACCGTGTGTCGGGGCCCAGCTCCGCTCTGTAAGGCCTGGGGTCACCACACGTTGTGACCAGGATGGACAACAGCAGGGCTGCAGGCGTGGAGCCCATGTTCCAGTGACCCCAGCAGGTACACCCCCAGCTGTGAGATGTACCGCCTGGCCTCCTAGGGGTCAGCGTGTGGCCCTCCTGGGGGACAGACTCTGTCCTTTCCATCTCCATCTTAAGTGACAGCTTAAGCATCCCCAGTGAGGTCCCTCCCTGCTTCCGTGCGGGTGCGTTCTGCATTTGTGGGGTCCAGGGAGGACTGCACACAGAACTCACAGCCGGCTTCTCCTTGGCTGCGTTTGCCTGGGGAGGGGGCTGCGGACAGACCGACCCGTGCCTGCCATGACCTGCAGAGCAGTGTCCTGCCTGCGTTGGCATGTCCTCTGCATGTCCTGCCTGGCATTGCCCACCCGTGCACAGGCACCACCCAGCAGGCCGGGCCTCACCACACCTTTCTGCTCTCTCCCCTCAGTGCCCTTCCGAGAGGCCCCGGCATACTCCAACCGCAGACGGCGGCCCCCCAACACACTGGCTGCGCCCCGGGTGCTGCTGCGGTCCAACAGTGACAATAACCTCAACGTCGGCCCGCAGGACTGGTCAGTGTGCTCCGCGGCCCCTGCCCACCGCAGCCTCTCGCCGCAGCTGCTGCAGCAGATGCCCAGCACCCCCGATGGCGCCGTGAAGACCCTCGGGGGCTACGCACCCGGTCCCCGCAGCCGGTCCCCCTCGCTCAACAGGCTGGGCGGTGCCGGCGAGGATGGCAAGAAGCAGCAGCCGCACTGGCATGTTGGGTAAGAGCCGGGCTGGGCGGGACTGCTGGTCGAGGGTGGCTGTGAGGTGGGCAGGGCAGGGCTGGGCTGGGGAGTGGTCAGGGCTCAGCTGTGAGGTGGTCAAGACTAGCCTGTGAGGTGGGCAGGGCTGGCCTGTGAGGTGGTCAGGGCTGGGCTGTGAGATCGTCAGGGCTAGCCTGTGAGGTGGGCAGGGCTGGGCCATGAGGTGGGCAGGGCTGAGCTGTGAGAGCATCAGGGCTGGGCTATGAGGTGGGCAGGGCTCAACTCTGAAGTGGTCAGGACTTGGCTGTGAAGTGGTCAGTGCTCGGCTATGAGATGGTCAGGGCTGGGCTGTGAGGTGGTCAGGGCTGGGCTGTGAGGTGGTCAGGGCTGGCATGTGAGGTGGGCAGGGCTTGGCCGTGAGGTGGTCAGGGCTGGGCCGTGAGGTGGGCAGGGCTCGGCCGTGAGGTGGTCAGGGCTGGGCCATGAGGTGGTCAGGGCTCAGCTGTGAGGTGGTCAGGGCTGGCATGTGAGGTGGGCAGGGCTTGGCCGTGAGGTGATCAGAGCTGGGCCGTGAGGTGGTCAGGGCTGGGCCGTGAGGTGGGCAGGGCTCGGCCGTGAGATGGTCAGGGCTGGGCCATGAGGTGGTCAGGGCTCAGCTGTGAGGTGGTCAGAAACTTTAAGCGCTTTGTCTTTTCACTGTCTCCGTAAGGCCAGCCCTGAGGTCATCATGGTGGGCATCCCAGCCATGGCAACGGCTCAGGACGGAGCTGGGTTGGTGGAGAGGGCAGGTCTACCTGCGGGGTGGGGTGGGTCCTGCCAAGCAAGTGTCTGCCTTGTGTTTTATGGCCGGCTTCCCGGGCCTCAGCATGGCTGACAGGAGCTGGAGGTGGCTCCCAGTGCTGTCCGGCCAGGAGCTCGAGGCCACTCTGGGCTCGGGGAGACTGCTGGTTGTTGTGTACCATGGAGTCGGCCTTGACCCATAGCTGAGCCTTCAGTGGGTTTTCAGAGGCAGTAAATCACACAGGAGGAGACTGCCCGTCTTTGTCATGTGGAGCAGCTGCTGGTGGACTTGAACCACGTGCCTTTGGGATCGCAGCTCAGCTTCTTACCACTAAGCCACCCTTTATAACTCTGCCAGAATGCTGGTTGAGGAAGAGCAGAGGCCTGGTGAGATGGTCGCGCACTAAGGCCGCTGCTCTCCTGATGGTGACAGTAGCAGGCCCTACAGTGTCAGTTCCTGCTGGGGCATGGGGACTGTGTATTCCAGAGCCAGCTGGTTTCTCAGGAACTCCACCCCAGGTCTGTTCTTCAGAGGAGCAGACTGAGGGGGGCTGAGCTCCCCAGAGCTCCCGAGTCCTTCTTGAAGGCAGCATGGGTGACTGAATTCGCACTCAGAGCTTCCCACGTGCTGTTGTCCTGAACCTCCCTCAAGCGAGCGTGGGGCGGTTCGGCCTTAGGGGTCACGAGTGGGCACTGTTACCGCACCCCCACCTCTGGGTCCTCACTTGCTTCTCTTGGCCTGATGCTTCTGGGAGACGGTACTGCTGTCGTCCCATCTTACAGATGAGGACACTGAGGCACACAGGGGCCGCCCAGTCATGCGTGGAGGCAGGACCCTAAGCCAGGGCCTGGTTCTGGGTCTCCCTCTCTGGTGACTGACTGGCCATCTCCCTGGCTCCTGATTGGCTCCGTGGTTGCGGGAGGCATTTGAACATGCGTGTTGGTCCTGGTCCCGCTGCCCTGCCTCTGTTGCTGGCCCACTTCACGGCCTTGGCCCGGTGCCCGGCTGGGATGGGGAGGCGGAGGTGCGTTTGCCCCTTGTGCAGGCTCAGGATTTCCGGGGATGTGGGTGCCCGAGGCAGATGTGAGCTCTGCGGCCTCCTCTGCTCAGCAAGACTGAGTGTCCCAGCCTTGACTGCAGCCTGGGCCCTGCCCTGGCCCTCGGGTGCCAGACGGCCTCAGCGTGCAGCAGAAGGTGGAGGGACTGACACTCCCCGAGCCAGTTCACTGCCATCATGAGACCCAGTTCCCAGCTCTGGTCTAGATTCTGGCTCAGAGAAGCCTCCAGGGAGAAGGCCCAGGTGCTAAGAACAGTTTAAAGCTAAATTACAGCACTCCCCAGAGGCAGCAGGTTCCACTCCACACCGTTAGCTAGAATTAGGGCTGTAATTTTCAAAGGCGTGTGTCCCTTCCCCCATTCAAAATCTAATAAGAGACCAAAGGCAGCGTGGCCAGGGACACTCAGGAGCGTCCAGGGGCTCCCAGGAACGTCCAGGGGCTCGTAGGAACTTCCAGTGCGATACTGCTCTGCAGAGCAGAAGGCGCTACGACTCATTCAGGATGCTGTCCAGTCACCCTGATTTCCTCAGTGAACTTGTATGTGCATGTGTTTGTTCCTACATGGGGCACGTATATGGTTGCAAGTCTTGCAAATGTGCATGCATTTATGTGCAAAAGCCCATGTGCACACATGTGTTTGCTCTCATGTGCACTTGGGTGATGGTTTGCCTTGTACACAAGTGTGAGTTTTTTTGAATGTCGATGTGTGCGTTGTGTGTGCACATGTTTGTGTGCCTCTGTGCATGTGCTTGTGTGGGGGCAGTTGTGCACATGTGTGTGCATGTATGTGTCATTGGCTGTGTGGGCAGGTGAGCACAGGTGTGGATGCCTTGCACATATGTGTCCTTGTGGGTAAAGGCCCGTGTGCATTGTGGGCCGGTAGTCGCATGGTTTTGTGTCTGTACATTTGTGTGTGTGTAGTCTGTGTTTGTACACATGAGCACACAGGTTGTGTGTGCATGTACACACATATGCATTTGCACCGTTCATGTGTGTACACACATGTGAACACATGTACGTGTGTGTATAGTTTGTATACATTTGTGCATGTGTTACTGCATTTTGTGTGTATATCTGTGTCTGAATACATGTGTACGTGTGTGTAACTTGTGTGTGTGTGTGTTCCTGAATACACTTGCAGATATTTTGTGTGCATCTGTGTACGTGTGTGTGTGTGTACCATCACTGAATTCTCACTGGCTGGACTTCCCTCCCCTCACACTGTGTGCCCTTGGACGGGTCACCTCCCACTCTGGGCCTCATCACTGTCATGTGTAATATGGGGTCACGGGCTTTCTGATTTGTTCTGGAGGTGAAACACACCCCTTTGTGGTTGTGCAGAGCACATAGCACTGCTGGGGAGTCTGCCCAACCTGCTGGTCCGTAGCTGGAACTCTCATCGTGTCCACCTGGGACTCTGTCCAGGACTGGGGACTCCCCAAACACAGGACTTTCATGAGGTGGCTGGTCCCCTACCTGTGGGCCTCTACCTGCTGGAGTGAGGAAGGGGGGCTGACCCGCTGACTCTCACCCAGCTTTGCCCCGTGCACCTGTCTGCCTTCTGTCTTCCCTCCATTCTCAGAGCCACGTCCTCTCCCCCCTCAACGCCTCAGTGGTAGCCATGCTGGAGGGATGCGTATGTGGGTCCTGGAGAGCTCTCAGCCCCTTAACCCTGCCTTCACAGCTCCGGGGACAGTACATGACCCCTTAGGTGGAGGTGGGGACAGCAGGTGTCCCTGCCTGACTTTCTGTCCTGGCCGCCCTGCTAAGTGCACTCAGGAAACATCATGCATAATAGGGTGGTCCTGGGGGAGCATGGTGGGGTGATCCTGGAAGGAGCGTGGTAGGGGTATTCCTGAGAGGTGCATGATGGCGTGGTCCTGGGAGGAGCATGGTAGGGTTCATCCTGGGAGAAT